AAAATGGGGAGCATATTTTGGAATGTGTCTAAAATTAGCGAAAACCGGCATATCAAATATTAACTCCAGCGTTTGTTTGCTTAATGACATATTAGGCTAACTTGTATTTCAGCGAATTATCGTTAAGGTTTGTAAGGGATATGGCGTAGATTTAGACATCTTACATGTAAGTCTTAGCTCATTGTTTTCTGAAATATGAACATTCGAAATTATGCAAGTATTTAATATTAGGTCTTTGCAAACTTAAATGTACATGAAAGACTGACCATGGAAGGCAGGCGCTTAAATTTTTCGTATTCTTAAATAGCCTAATTTTTTTATGTTTTTAATGGGTTCAAACAGACTGAGTACATTATTTCTCGGTTAGAGCAGGATGAATATTCTTTATTGAAGGAAATAATATTGCTTTTTGCAAATACACATCACCGTATCAACGCTACTATTTTGTTACGTTTTGTTCCAAAAATGTTGCATGTCTCTGGGGAGCTGCTTAATTGTTATGTCTTATGGAGTTGTATGGTTTGATTGTGTTTCATATAATTCTCAGTTTACTCCATGAACTTGCCAAGATTAAGAAACGGCAAAAGAGTTTGGGTGTTCTTAACAAGATTTCAGAACGTTGCAGAAGTTAGGAGAGCTTCACAATTCCGTTGTGACAGCATGCCCTAATTCAGAACTACGAACGATCCAATGACGATCCTTCGCGATGCAGTGGTCTCATGAAATAAGGAAACGTATTCGTGCTAGGAACACACGCGAATTTCGGACGAATGAATCTTTCTTGTATTTTGTAGATATAATAATACTTTGTTTCATAATAAACAATTTGTCAAGTGTCATTTATTTACTGGTAATAGTGCATGTTTCAGTCGGGCAAATCTTGATTAATATTTGATACGCCGATTTTTGCATATTTCAGACACATCCAGAAATATCCTCCCGAATTAAAAGATTAATATCTCCGTGAATTTTTAAGTGAAATACAACTGTAATATATCAAAGTCTAAGTTAGTCCTTCCTCTATTTGATGCAAGTTATTTCTCTTTAAAAGCTATACTTGTTTAGATGTTATTACGAATCAAACAGGAGTACTTTTTTTTGGGCCACCCGGTATTTTAGCCATATTACTTACTGTGCTGAGTGGTTATATATTACTACCTGAAATAAACAAGCAGAAACTCGACGTTTCGAGGGTACTAACTCGTGACGAAGGGCCTTCGCTCGAAACGTCGAGTTTCTGCTTGTTTATTTCAGGTAGTAATATAACCACTCAGCACAGCAATTTCACATTGGTACTACCCACACTGGTACAGACAGTTTTATTATTTTACTTACATAATATTAAGTTCTCTCAGCTGTTCCCAGATTAGCCCAGTAAGCTGTAGTTGAATTTCTGGCATACTTTTCGCCATCGAACAAGATGTGTCAATCAGAATAACAACCTTTTTAAAAAGAGATTTTCGTTCCTTAAACTCATACAGTATATGTTTAATTTCAAATTATGGAAATTTTCTCCGGCAAGCAAAATTAACTAAATCATTTTATGTACTATTTAAAACACGAGCAGGAATGCTTTATCAGATATAAAACACGAGGCGACAGCCGAATGTTTTTTATCTGATAAAGCACGGACTTCATGCGAGTGTTTTAAATGGGGTCATCATCTACCTATACTATCCAGGCTCGTGGTTGGCTAATTATAACAATGAAAAACAATAAAACTATAGAAATCGTCTTTCTAAAGAACGAGTCAGGAACAATGATAATTTTTGTTTCTGATGTTTCTGAAAGCCAATCACAAAACATGATAATTTTAGATAGGTCTTTACTCTTTAAATGGCTTTAAAAAAGACCCATCTAATGAGTTCATTGACAGAGTAATTTTAAAAATCAACGTACTCTAAGCTGAGGAAATTAAAGCTAAAGTTTGTATAAATTAACATGATTTTTTATCACATATAAAACCACTGACCAGGTAGTGATTTCCTTTGTCTTTTCCTCATGAATTATTAATGAGTTTTTTAATTATTATACATGAATTTTGTGCCCTACCTTCTTTTCAATAACAGTTCCAAATATTCGTCTACTTCCTACAAATTGAAGAGCAGCATTTTCGTCAGTGTACAGTAACAAAGAGCGTGTTTCGTATAAACAAACGTCTCTTTCTGACACGTTTTCGTTGTAAACCAAACCAGACCAGACCAGACCTGACCAGACCAGACCAGACCTGACCTGACCTAACCCTACCAGCATTGGTCAGAGTTTCTCTTTACATAAATTATCCCAACTTACCACTCATTAACCACTGCAGTCTCTTGACGTAACGTTTCATCACTTTCTCCATCTCGGCTTCATATTCTTCCAGTTCACGTGACGTGAGATGAAGATGTTTCATCACACCCTGAACAACATTTAGAGGGAATTTTTTTAAGACCTTTACACTAAATGTTTTGCAAACAAGACAGTATTTATAATATATAATTTTCTATAGTTTAAATGCATGCATTCTTTGTACGATCGATACACGAGTGAAGAACTAAAATAAACTAAACGAACTTCATTTATACTGGATAGCTCTATCAGTCCCAAAGTGATCTCCCTTGAGGGGCCAGCAAGGGCTACTGTCTGTATTGGTCGAGTGTTACTACAGAAGGAAACCTAAACTAGACTAGCGTTAATTATACTGGATAGTTCTAAACTATTCTCCCTTAGGCTTAGGTGGTCCATGCAGTAAGAGATTTATCTCTTGTTAGTCAGGTATTGTTACTACAGAAAGAAACATAAATTAAACTAACGTTAATTATACTGGATAGTTCTATCAGTCCTAAAGTGTTCTCCCTAGAGTTAAAATACTATTAAAAATTAATAAACTTTGTGGCAAATCATGTCAGCCATAATATGTCACGTGGAGTGACTTTATATCTGATAAAACTCATCTTCATTAGTATTCTTTATATAATTCTTCATCCTAATTAGTATGATTATATAATTGTTCATCCTAATTAGTACACTTTTGTAGTCGTATTTTAAGCTATTCAAAACACTCGAACTCGCGTTTTATCATATCTAAAACGCTCGGCTGCGCCTCGCGTTTTAAATATGATAAAACACTCCTTCTCGTGTTTTAAATAGTACATCCAGTATTCTAAAACAACTATTTATCGCAGGAAACGAACCCTGAATTGGACAGAATTAGACATATCCAGTGTGTCACCAAGCCCTGCCACATCCTAACATGAAGTTCAGGCCCTAATCACAGAATAGGGCCTGACACAAAACCTATCTAAACTGACATGGCACGATCACATCGAATCTATTAAATCTAAGATTAATAAGAAGCTGGGACTACTAAAGCGTATTAAGAACTATTTACCGTTACATAGTAGAATATTATTTTATAATTCTTATATTTTGCCATCTTTTGACTATGCTGACACAGTATGGGGAGACAGAGGGAATGAAACCCTTATGGCAGATTTACAAATCTTACAAAATAAGGTAGCACGTATAATTTTGGACCTGGATTATGGATCGTCAGCCAGTTCTGCTTTGAAGAAGTTGGCTTGGAAAGATCTAAAGACCAGGAGGATTGTTAACCGTTTGATATTGATTTATAAATGTAAGAATAATCTTTTCTCTTATAATTTTGAAATCACATATCATCAGGATATGCATGCTTATAACACTAGGTCTAAGTGTAACATACGTAAATCAGTGGCGAGACATAAATGGGGACATTGGACAACGGTCAATTTTGCCAGCAATGACTGGAATGAATTGCCCCAAGAAATTCGTGAAGCAAAAGACCTTCAAACTTTTAAAGTCTACTTAAATAGCTTTATTGATACCTAGCTTTAATTATCCCTATATATTTAGCCTAGTTCCTAAATAGCATTACTATACTTACATTTAATTAACACTGTAAAGTTTTTTGTAGTTTAGCAGGACCCTACTGAAAAACACATTATTGTGACGTAGGCTTCCTGATTAAAAATTGCTTGAATTGAATTGTGGGATTCCCGTCCATCTGGTGGACGGAAAATCTGATTGGTTGATCAGCATCATGAAGGATTTTGATTGGTTGCAAGTTTACATAAACAACAGTTTTAAAAATAGCTCGGTCAAGGCGACAATTAATAATACTAGGTTACCCACAGGGCAGTAATGCTGCCTTTGACAGCAAAAGACAAACTACAGGGTGTTGAACGAGTTCTTCAGAAACATCCTATTATTGTTATCCTTGTTAACCCATTTATTGACAGTACCCTACGACTGACTGAGTATTAAAAATCGTCTGGCGTTGGTCAGGGTAAATACTAAAGTAGGGGTCATTATACTGTGCTGATGAATTAACAAGAGACATTGGCAGATAGTTTTGTTAACCCATTTACTAGCAGTACTCTATACCACTGACGAGTAAAATCTTCTGGCGCTGGACAAGGGAAGGGCGCATTGCCAGCTAATGGGTTAAATCACCGTGGTTAATTAAACATAAGATTTGATGCTCCAGGAAATGTAAACAAGCTATCAGTGTGACATCCCAGTTTCAGGCGACCTGGCTGCGGCAGCAACGAGAATAAGAAATATTTGTAATGAATTGGAATCATCCATAATTTATACATCAACAATTTTCAAAAACGGCCAATTAGATTATAGTGGAAACGTCATCCAATAAGAAGCGCGTATTTGAGAGTTAATCACTATGTAACTACAAAATAGTGATTAATAAAAAGAGTTTTATACAACCGGCCCCTGGGGTTAAAGGGCAATGACAATGACATGCAGGTGACATTTAATATGTGTGACTGTGCGTAATTAAAATTTGCGTGTTTAATAATGTTTATCAAAGAAGGCAAAAATATATACAAGACAACCTCACGTGTGCAATCTGTTCACTTGCGCACTGCCTTGTGATGCAGTGCAAGTATAAATAAATGACAAAGCATTTTTAAATCCTAAAACATAATTAAATCATACGGCACATTCAAGATTTTATTATAATATCCTATTTCAGCCGCGTTCATACTGCTTGGCGCATTCGCTGCGTTGTATTCATGGCAGATTTATTACTAATAAATCAACACTATATGATAATATATAGAACTCACAAAGTGCATAAATAAACCTTTTTAAAGCATGTCATTGTCATTGCAGACTAGAGGCAAAAACCAAAAAGCATTGTCAACCACATATTCAATGTTGAATGAAAGCATCGCGTATAATGTTAAAAAAACCGCGTATAATGCTTGAACCACTGCGTATAATTACGAAACCACCGCGTATATTAAAATGGTGAAAGCACCGCGTATAATGGTAAAAGCACCCGGTATGATGGCGAAAGCACCGCGTATGATCGGCTCCAACCACCGCGTATATTGGCGAAAGCACCGCATATAATG